CGGTGCTGAACTCCGAGGAGCTGGCCTGCATCTTTCTTCAGGAGTGTGAGGCGAGTCCTCAGTGTCGAAGGCTGCAGCTCAAAGACCTGCTGGTGTCGGAGATGCAGAGACTCACCAAGTACCCTCTGCTGCTGGACAACATCATCAAACACACCGAGGGTGAGGAACAGAGACACACACGGTGTTCACATCAGGATGATGGCAGTGATCGGTACATTTGAAGAACCTGGTTTCTGGTTTTCTCGCAGCCGGGTCGTCAGACCTCCCCTCGCTTCAGCACGCGCAGGCTTGTTGCCGGGGGATACTGCAGGCCGTCAACGAGGACGTTCGGGAAACGGAACACCGCCAGCGCCTCGTTCAGTACCAGCGCAGGCTGGATGCTGCTCCTCAGTTCAAGGTGGCGCAACAGTTCGGTTTCACTGGTTTCATGGAGGCTGTRAACAAGTCTGAACTTGTTTTACTCCTTCTCCCTCTCAGAGTCTGGACCTGACCACAAAGAGAATGATCCACGAGGGCCCCCTCACCTGGAAGATCAGCAAAGACAAGCAGATCGGTCCGTATTCTCGTGCTGATCCRTGCAGGATGATGAGTCGCACCCGGTAATCATGTTTCTGACCTTCTTTTCTCAGAGATCCAAGCGCTGCTGGTGTCAGACTGCCTGCTCCTCCTTCAGAAAAGCCCAGACGATCGACTGCAGCTGCGATATCCATCCCGCTGGTTGGGAGGAGGAGGAGGCGGGGGCAGCGCAGACAGCAAGACCTCCTTCAGCCCTCTGGTCAAGCTGAACTCCCTGCTCGTCCGAGACGTAGCTATAGGTACCTTTCAAAGAAAAGTCTCATTTAGACGACAAAGTTCAAAGTTTAGATATAATTCTTTGAYAAAATCTCCACATGGTGTGTTTTTTGTCTTTAGATAGCAAAGCTCTTTACATCATCAGCACCACAGAGAGTCAGATCTATGAGCTGGTGACTGCGTCTTCATCAGAGAAAAACACGTACACAGTTTCTTTTTCGCTTGAGAAATTCCTTTTTTGTCTTACTTTCTGTTTAGATGGGGAACTAACTTCTGATTCTTGCTTTCCAGTTGGAAAGATTTGCTCGAAAAGACCATCACTGCTGCTGGAGGTCCGTCGCACATCAACCACAGATCCATTCATTTATCGTGAGTTTGTGTCACATTTGTAAAAAGTAAAAGTATCCACRAGGGTCTAAATGTTAATTTTGTGTTTTTTACTCGCTGTGTGTTCCCTCCAGTCCTGCCAGTCTGCGCAGTGCGTCGCCTGTTTCAAACAGCAGGAACGTTGCTGAAGGTAATAACCACACAATGAAGCTTGTTGAGCTAATCACCATGTCCTAAAATGTCGTGAACACGACCGCAGATAAACATGGAGGGTCTTGGATTAAATAAGATGGTAATAATAAAACGCCACATCCTGGGAGACAGAGGCAGTTGAGGGTCCTGCACGATCCATCCTAAGATGAAAAGTCGACACACGGTCGCGTGGTTGTTTGACGTTTGTTTTCGTGCACACCTCTCATAACCCCTGAGACACACCGAGCTGAGTTCCTGTCTGTTGTCGGCCATTATAGCAAGGCTCTGTTGCAGACATTCACCTTTGACATCACTTCCTGTTTGTTCAATATCTCAACTGTTCTTCTCAGCGACCTGAATGATCTTTTGCAACATGTCATCAATGTTATCGTTTCAAAAATGCATTCCCTTTTAATACAAAATTTGATGCCACAGGCACTTTAAGGCCATTTCATACTCCATCAAAAGCTGAGAAATCGTTTCTCATTAGCTGCGTTTTCATTGCAAATGTGCGCAAAACTTTGTCGATATTCTGTTCATGTTGAAAGAATACAGTTTCGCAACTGCGGTGTTTCCGTTACGTAAGAAATGCTATTAAAGTCACGCATGAAAATGTTTGTTCTCGTGATAAGTCATTACAAACATGGCGGCAACCGATGTAAACACATGAGATACATGCATATCGCAATCACAACACTAACGCTCATCATCAACCATCAGAGGAGACCTCGGCATCTTATCAAGGCTTTCGAGCAACAAGTTCCTTATACTTGGGAGCGGATACGTATGCAGCAGTTTTGGGAAATTGTAGTTGGTGATTTTACTACTTGTACTTCCTGTTGTCTTCTTCTTCGTCATCTTTTTCGCCAGTAGAAACATGCGGTTGTTGATCACGTGACTCCTGTGATGCAAAAAAAGTGTTTCCATTGTAGTTTTTCCGAAAAACAACAATTTTGATACGGCTGAAAAACCACCATATCCTAATGCAAAACCATTTTGTCGAAAGATGTAAGTTTTTTTTTTAATTGACGTGTTTCCATTATGCAAATTTATTTACGCAATTCTAATTTGCGCATTTTTATGGTCAATGGAAACGCAGCTACAGATGTAGTTCTGTGATGGGAATGGCATCATTTAGTTCTCTTAGCTTCGTCTGCCTCTTCTCAACACAAGGCCCGGCACAAACCTTTTCTCATAGGAGTGTGAGCAAAGTATTATGTGATTGGTCAGACGTTTGTGGGCGTGTTTTTTTTTATTTTTATAAAAACACTCCTATAGCAAGGGTGTTATTTTGCTTCAGCAACTCTGCTTCCAGACTGTTGTGCATTCAAACACGGATGATTTTCAAAAGTCAGAACATGGCCAAAAACTCCTGGATGGAGATAGCTCAGACATTGTGCACGGAGGAGTACCTCTGCTGTCCTTTATTAGTATAAAATAATAAAGACAGAAAAATGTACCAGTTTCCCTCATGTTGTTCTTTGTTAAAAGACTGTGCAGTCATGTCAAGCAATAGAGACAAGACTGTCCTCAAACCATCAGGTCCTGCAATAATTAAAAAGAAACAACTCGTGGCTCATTACATATAT